TCCATGATTCATAAGTTGTACAGCATTAACTGTAAATGAAGTGAAAGAAGGACAGACGTTATAATTTTAAATAATTAAAAAAAATTCTTATTAGAATTATGATCTGTATAACTCTGTATGTCAATTAATCTTGTACTAACTGAAAGAAACCCGTATGGTCGGTCTGCTTACAGGCAAACTTACGGAGGGGGAAGGGGGATAGCATGAGGGGGTGTTACACCCTTTCCCCAAAGAAGATGATATTCAAGTTATGGTCGGTTCACGAATTTATCGGTTAGTCAGGTATTTGACACAATTCAGTCGGTTAAATTTTTGTTTTGAGGATCATTGGAAGTTGGTACATTTTGGAAATTCAGCCCCCCCCCCCATCCCATCATCTAATTTTATTGCCTCTGGGTCTGCTATATAATTAGTTTATAATGGTTATAACCAAGCTGTTTACGACAATTTAATTTAAAATTGCAAAACCTTAACTTATACCCTTTTAGAAAAACGCCTTTAAATTGAAAATATAAATCCACTTATAATATTCCATTAAAAGTATGAAAAGGTAAATAATTAACTAATTAATAGTTATATTAATAAAATTAATTTATTATTTATTTAAATTATATCAACATTTATTGATTAATAATTATATTATTAAAATAATTTTCCGATTAATATCTAGCATTATTTGACAAATTTACAACAAATATAGGTCATAATAGTGTGAGATAAAACCATTTTCCTCAAAATTCAAAAAGTTCATCAAACCAAACACACGTTAAATGTACACAACTAAATAAATTTATTAAAAATAACTTAGTTTATTATAAATAACTAAGCGATTTAATACAAATACGTTTGAAACATAAACTTTTTAATTTACAACAAATTTGTGTATAACAAATTGAAACAAATATGTTAACTTTGATCTTTTATATTGCAATAATGCGTCATATAACAATTTTAAAATAAAAATTGTAACTGAAAAGTAGACATAAAAAAAAAGAATTAAAAAATAGAAAACATTTTACCTGCTGTTGGTAACCTGTTGGTATACTTCAGTTGCTGTCGTGATGCAGAAGTTCTTGTCGGTGTTGTTCAATACCGTTATTTTATGTTGGGTTTAGTAGTAAAATTATTTAAGTAACAATGCTAACAGATCTGATTAATTTCTCCTAAAAAACTATAATCTGGAATAGTATTACTTCTTGCTATGTAATATTGCGCGGCTAGCAGCAGTTCTTAATTTTTTTATATAAATACGTTTATCTTGCCTAGACCTATCTTTTTTGTATCTACGACAATTTTTTTAGTTTATATAACCACCATGCCCTCGTTTGGGTCTAAACTAAGTTTTGCTTGGAAAGCGGCTGTACTTACATTTCGAATATTTTTATTTTCCCTAGCTCTATATCTTTTATTTCAACAACAATTAATTTCAAGTTGTCTCTTAGCATTTACACTGTTAACTTATTCGAGTCTAATATCACACATTTTTGTTTTGCTATTATTTTTAAACATTAAGAAACTTAGGAGTTGTAATTTTTCTATCAAATTACTAACATCTCTAAAGTAAGCAAATAAAAAAATACAACTTTTATAAATTACTGTTAACTTAATTAAAAAAATTAAACAATTAGAGACGGAATTGAGTTAAATAAAAATATATACTATTCTCACGTTACAAAAACAATGTTTTTAAAAACATCTTTAAAAAGATGAAAAAACAAATGATAATATTTAGTCTAAACCAATTAAAAATAAACAAAATTCTACAATTTTTTTTGTTTTTTACTTTCTACAGTAAAATTTAAATTTACATGTTTAAATGAAATATAACTAAAAAACTGAAAGGGAATAATACCCAATTAAAGGTGTCTTCCTTATTCCCTATATATTAAAAAATAAATAAAAAGAAACTTTTAAGAACAAAATTTTGCACAGCTTTTTTTAAAACACTTTGTAGCTACGTTAAGAGCAGAAAGATTTTTTTTTGTTTGGTTCTTAAATGTTTTAGTGCATAAAATCAGATCCGAATCTTTCAATCGATTGATTTCAATTGCATTTTTATTTGATTTTTGTTTTTCCAACGCAGAACTCTTTATGTTCAGTTCTACTGTTGGTTCTTAGCAATTTTAGATTTTTTTTAGATCCATTTATAATCATTAATCAATGATACTGGGGTAAGGCTGGTACATAGCTACCATGCTTAAACTATTATGGCCACTTGATATTCTTGATTAAACGAAAGCAACTTCCATTTTTTTAGGATAGGTCTTGTGTGAGTCTTATTGAGGCCAGTAATCTGTAAATCTCTCTTTTGTTAACAAATAAGTTTCGTAACATTTTTAGAATCACTGTACCCCCAGATTTCAACACAGTAAATTAAATGGTTTCTAATCAACGAATTAAACAAAAAAACTTTAGATTTGCACTGCAACAGTTTGTCAAATCTTCTTTACAGGTAAATGCTTTTGCTTATTTTCTTTGACACATTAATTAAATGATGATGACACTCCAATTTGTTGTCCCACAAGATACCAAAAATGCTAACGCTTTTATATTTATAATTTTTACTACATTTGGTAAGCTTGAGACCTTGCAATTTTGTTTCTACTTTTTTTTGCTACCAAAAATCATTATTTTTATTTTTTCAGTATGAAGTGTAAGTCCATTAGCCACAAACCAATTACTAATTTTCTCCTATTCTTTGCAACATAATTCTTGTAACTCTTCAGTCGAGTCAGCCTTTGCAATCATTGTTGTATCATCAGCAAAAAAATAGGAATAAAGCTCTGTTGGTCCCGGGAGATATACGTTGAAGGTATACATGTTCCCTGACTAACTCCTTACTTTACAAGTCTTTATTTAGGTTATTTGTATTTTTCTTTTTTCAAATAACAACTGCCTGCCTCCTGTCAGCTAAATATGAAGAAATCCATTTTAAAATTTTTTCACCTGCACATATGTTTTTATAAATAATAGCATGCACGCAACTGTCAAAAGCTTTTTTTACATTAATTAATAATACTGCTGTAATTTTTTTTTTTGGTTTCTATAATTTGTTATTTTATTAAAAAGTTTCAAGTTTGCATGAATTGCATTGCATCCCCTTTTAAAGCCAAACTGATTTATCGGAACGATTCCGTTATCTTCATTACTCGTCTCAATTTGATGTAGTACAGCTTTTTTAAATAATTTTGATAATGCTGTTAATACATTTATCGCTCTGTAATTATCCATAACGGTTTTATTTCTCTTTTTTTAAACAAGTTTTATTTTTGCTAGTTTTATATCTTCGGGGAAATAATCATTACTAATCGATTTGTTGATCATTTTTGTTAAAAAGATTGTGCATCATGATAAGCAATATTTAATAAACTTGTTACTAATTAGGTTAAAGCCACAACTACTTTTAGGAACTAAATCATTAAGAAATTGCATAATTGACTCATTAGATACTGACTTTAAGTCCCAAGTAACATCGCGAATGGAAGAAATTTGTAATTGTTCATGGGATTAAAGTCAAAAAAGACTTAAGAAGTCCTTACGGTCTTATCAACAAGCACCGTAGAAAAGCATTTAATAGGAATTTCACGCATCCTTCCCAGCCGATGTTGTAAAACTTGCCCAAAGGTGGGGTTTGAACCACGGATCTTACGTTTCTGAGACAAGTGCGCTACCACTTCACCATTGCACAGTGCAAAATAATGTTGCCATAATAACTTAGGCTACCAACACTTGGACCAAACCTACACAAAGAACTAAAAACATATAATGGCAAAGTTAAATATACAATACTATAATTACAAGTAGATATCCTGGGGTTTACAACCGTACTTGTGATAGAAAGTTATATTTGTAAGGAGAAAAACAAATTTGCAATAAATCATGGCACACCAAACGAATAGCATGAATGGCAATAGGCATGCTTCTGGAACGACTGAACATTATAAAGAACGCCATTAAATATTTGACTGGCTTCAGCCAACAACGTTAATTATAAATGACAACTATCACGAAAAAAAATAAATAAATAAGTGAACGACTCAAATTAATTATGCGCAAAAATTTTATGAGTAAAAAGAAACCCTATTATTTCTGAACCAGAATAACGCATAATAATGACTTTAAATAGTTGGAGACCACCTTTTAAGACAATCGTAAAAAAATGAAACAGTTTTTAATAATGTCGTCTTTGTAATAACTTCTTTATAGTTTTTGATATTTTAGTTTGTAACGGTTTTTAAATCAGCATTTTACGTATGATGACGATTTGAAAAAACCAGATCAAAATACTATATAAAATAAATTTAGTTAGCATGTTGCAACTTTTATGTTTTATAACTTAGTACCATTTTACGTAAAACAAAAAATGTCGATGAAACTCTTGAAAATAAAAAGCAAACAAATAATTTAAACAAAAAATACATTTATTTGTTAGAGAAGTTTTAAAAGTTTTCTCATTATTTATTCATGATCTTTTCTAATATGTGATCTGAAAACTCAACTCACCTCAGTAGTAACATTAGGGTTTTTGCTAACCAAGGGAACTTTGTTAACTGTAACTAAACTTTTAACAGTTATTATAAAAAACTCTTCTATATAAAACCCACGAATACGACTACATACGACCACTTACAACAAAGTTCTACATACGCAAACTCAACTTTACCTGAAGTTGAAACTGTAGTTTACATCTAAGGCTTGTACCTGAGGCTATACAAATAAAATTTTTAAATTTGTTTAACCTGAAAATAAAATTTTGTATGTAATTTAGATATATTAACATATCTGTATATAAATGTATCACACTTACTTATCACTTAAATATAAAAGTGCAGAAAGAGGTTTTCTCACGATTAATTAGGATAGTTCCATATAAAAAAGCGTTAGTTGGCACAACTACATAAACATCTATTAGGTTTAGCATAATTATATAAAATAAATTTATATATTAAACAAATTTTTTTCGAAAAAATAAGATACTTAGTAATTAATGTTCTCTTCAGATTGGTTCCATTTGTGAATCAAATACTCCGTGCAGCCATTTATATTGCCGAGATGTATGTTTAACAGATAACCAAGGATTTGTTCACAATTACACCTGCATTGGTAATTATTAAAAATAAAATTTATTTACTTTGATGTTAAAATCTAAAATGCTAACAAGTTGTATTGAAAGTAATAATATTATTAATAATCACAATTTTTGTTGGTTGTTCAATGCTATTTATTTTTAAATGATAACTAAATAAACTAGATAAGGATTTTTGTGAAAGCTGTTACCCAATTTGAAGTATATTGATAAAAGTTTTAAATTGGAACTTTTTATATATTTCAGTTTTTCTTTTTCTTTTTTTCCCATTAGTTCTTCATGACTAAGTTTTGATGAACAAAAATCCCATTAAATTTTTGTTAGTAAATTTTATATTCATAAAGATCTGTGGTTAAGTTGCTAAAACAGTCATACACTAATAAAATAATTTATATCTTTTATACCTGTGTATTTCATTTTGTTTAAAAATTAGATTGGCAATTTTTTTGTGCAAGTTACTTTCTGGCATCACGCAAACATGTTGAGATGTGTGCGAATCTTCAAAAAAACACCCTTTTTCCTGTCTTTGTAAAAACAATATTTGCGTTGCTTAGTTTCAAATTTGAAATCTCTTATAACCTGAAGGCTTATATCTACATAAAATTTACAATTTAGAATTTCCGAAATGCTGTCACATAAAGTAAATAAAAAAAAGTATAAGAGTTAAAAATTACTGATAACATAATATCTTCTCGGTAACTTTTGCGTATTTTGTATAATTATTTAATCAGCTTTTTTCTGGAATATTATTCCTTTTTTTTTTGTAAGATTGTTTCACACAATTATTAATTTTGTAGAAAGTAATGATGCATCAAGAAGTGCTACAGCATCATTATCATCTACATGGGATACGTATGAAGCAAGAAATGCAATTGATGGCAGTGAAACAACTTATGCAGTAACTGCTGATAGTTTGACTACACATTGGTTTAAATTGGATTTAAGTTGCGTATATCAAATTATTCAAATTGTTGTTTACAATCGAACAGCGTTTCGTCCAGTTAGAATGATGGGCAACAAACTTATTGTTAATGTTTACGATCAATACATAAATGTTCCTGAAATCGCTGTGTTGACTTCTGCTTCGAAACAAACATTCACAGGCTCATTTATTGGTAGATATATTTTTATTGTTAAAGATTCCAGTGAATTACTTCAGGTAGCGGAAATTAATGTATATGTATAACACTAACAACATATATTTGAGATTTTATAATTTTCCTTTACAACATGCATTACCTATTTAACATTTCAAGTATTAATTTTTACATTTGAAATATGAAATATTTATTACACGCGGCAATTTTGCAATGATTTTGTTTCTGTCTTTTTTCGAATTTATGTTAAATGTAATTCAAAATATTATACCAGATTTAAACTCAGAATAATGTTTTATTTATTTAAACGGTATATTAGTTACAAATAAACTAACCAATGGGCACACGAATGTCCATAGTACGTCCAAAATGTTCTGTTTAGACGTCCAAAATGGACGTACGTGGACGTGCACTGAATGTACCAAATGCAACGACGTTTTCGTCGTTGACAACAAAAATTCGTCCGTTCATTTTGGACCTATGAAGTACATCCGAGGACGTCCAAAACAGTCAGTTTGAAGGTTCGCAATAGGCGTTTTTCGACGTCTAACGGACGTCTAAATTTTGTCCGTTCATTCAGCGTTTAATTTTCTTTAGCTTATTCTCAAACCTACTCCTTTTCTAGCAACAATAAGAAAATGAAGTCTCAAGATTCAATTTTTTATAGTTACTAGAAATGGAGTCACCTATGAGAATAAGCTAAAAAAAACAATTTATAAGAAATAAAGTCTTTTTTTTTACCACAAAGCCTAAGTTTAATATACAAGTGTTTCTGAGATTAAAAACAAGTGTAAACCCTAATTAGGATAATGATAAGGTTACTTCATATACAAGTAAATCCTAGTACTGACAGAAAACATTACAAAAGAAAAAAAAAAAAGTAATGTTTTTGACTATATTAATACATAAATGCAATCTAGCAAAAACATTATTTTTTAGCTCGTTTTAATATGTCGCCATTGGCATCCTCGATGTTGCTTACATCATAATCAATTTTGTCAACAAAAATAGTATCTAAAGAAATAACATTTATCACAAAATTTTCCGTCAATCATAGAGCATGTTTTAGAAAACCAAAAATAAACAAGTCAATTCAAAAGCAAAGTAAAGAAACTGTAATTTTGAATTTATTCGCCTAAAAGTCAACAAATTAAAAAATTTCTACAAGAAAATTTACCTGTTATTAGTTTTGAAAAGTCATACATAAAAAAAGTAAATTAAAATAAAAAAAGACAGCAATTATTTTTGTAAATAATGAATAGGAGAAAATGAGCAAAGTATTACTGTTAAACAATCTGTTATTTACTGTAAATAAAAATAATTCAGTCTTAAATAAGATGAAATACCTACAAACTCGCGTTCGACGCTCACCTTTTATGCATTTATAATAAGGAGCTAAGTAATGCCTGTACTCGATGATATTATTCAAAATATTTTTAACTTTTTTCCGTGAAATCGCACCTCCCATTCGTCTCATTTAAGTAACCTTAGAAATTGATAAAATAATTTCGAAACATGATTAAATAATAAACTAAATCTAAATACCATATAGAATCACAACATATTGTGAGCAAATTATTCACCTTTTTTTACAAGTTTTTAAAAGTACTAATATATATATATATATATATATATATATATATATATATATATATATATATATATATATATATATATATATATATATATATATATATATATATATATACATATATATATATATATATATATATATATATATATATATATATATATATATATATATTTATACATATAAATATATATATATATATATATATATATATATATATATATATATATATATATATATATATATATATATATATATATATATAAAACACAAAAAACATGATATTTTTTAATAACTTTTCTTTATTTGAATAAAATTTTATAGTTTTATGTTTTGAGTTGGTTATTTTAGTATAACTAAACGACATTAATAAAAAATGATGAGCAACAAATTGCTGTTAAAAGCAGATGAAAAGTCAGTTTAAAAAGTTGCTGGGAAAATAGATCGAAATAGTCGGCCCGCAAAACTTAATAAGTTACAAGTATGCATATTATACGTAAACAGAAATTTCTCCTAGATGAAGCTGTACAGAGTTTTGTTTAACTATACGCAAATATCTCGCTGCAATTGAAGTTAAATAAGTTTGTTGTTCATTGGAGTTTAGTGTCGCAATTTTTATAAAATTGCTTAATTTATTGATTATGCTTCCACTTAATATGTTTCCACTGATTTTTGTTGGATCATCACTGTTATTCCAAATAACTATTTTACGCATTTGATATATATACTTTAGATCCAGTTGAAACCAATTTTGACCACCATTATGCGTAATTGCAGCTGTAGTTTTGTCGGAGTCAATGGCTTTGATTGGTTCAGTGCCTTGACCATATATTGATGAAAGTGAAGGAAGAGCATCTTTTGAAATATCAGTTTTAT